AAGTAAGGGCTTTTGGAGCATTCCCACATTTCTTCATCTTCTCAAAGTAGTCATGCACAAGATCATACTTCCCAGATGCTATCATCACCTATAGTTTTTTTATTATAATTTATTCTTTACTTAGTATATATACAAAAGTGTAGGAAGTGAGGCTTTTTACGAATTTACCCTCATGAGTGTACTTGCATTGCAAGCCCATAAGTTGCTCCTATGGGTTTTAAACCACTTTTTCTCAGTTCTTTAAACACCCATGAAACATGTTATCTGGATATATGATAGAATTGCATTCACTACTCACATTTGTTGCTACAAACCAGAAAAAAAAAACTAGATAATCAATCTTTATTGTACATTAAGCATGAAAATTTGAGATGAAGAAGCAAAAAGCTTACCAATATCCATAAAGGGATGCTCTGTGAAGTTCTAGCTTTGATCATTCTCAGTTTGAAGCATGTCTGGTGATGGGCTGAAAAGATGTCGATGCCTCATATCTTATGACTAATTCTAAACTATTAGCAACAATTTTTCAGTGTAAGAAGTTGATTAAAGGGGTTGGGAATCCACAAACAACAATTTAAGTCGAAGCAATTAACTGAAGTTGAGCCATAGCGAAATTAGGGGAAAACACACCATAGCACCATACCTATTTTTGCAAGATTTGTGCTTTACCTTTGTTGATGACAATACCTGAAATTGTCGAACATATTCAGAAGCTGAATCAAACTTTCATATAATAACGAAGAAACAAATTGCAAACATACCGTGATGCCTATATTTAAAAAAGATATATGACAAAATCAAAAAAACAATTGTGCTTAAATATAATAAAAAACGTGCCAAAACAGAGTATTCAAAGTGGAAAGCAAACTCTAACGGTTTGTTGACACAAATTTCATGAAAGCAGTGATCCTATTCACCCATCATTCATTGACAATGTTAAAGATTTGGGCTAAATGAAAGAAATAGCAACAACCACATAAATCAAGAAACTTTTTTCAGATGAATCAAAACCCAAAAGCAAAAACGCGAAACATCAAAAGCCATTTAAATTTTGTAGAATAAATGAAATACTTATACCTTCGATCGAGTATATTGGTAGTTGGGATAAAATTAAAATCGATTGACACATCTAGGCTTTGAATGTCGATTCAATGGAAAAGACGGATAAGACGCATAATTTACGTTGTTGTCAACAATCGGAAGACAGGCAACACTCCGATAGTGATGGAGTCGCCGGTCTCGGAGAATTCGACGTCAGAAAGGTGGTAGAAAGAGGGGGAGACGGAAAATCAAGGGTTTACGAACGAAACAAAATGAGGTAGATCGGTAGAGGTGATCAGATTTACCTCTTCTGTTGGCGGTGGGAAACATGTGGAACAAGGAGAAAAAAACATGTGGAGGGATAAACACAGGGAAAAAAACGCGTGTCCAAGACACGTATACGTATCCAACCTTTGAGCAGTCAAAAAGAACAACTTATGATATTAGAGGGAGCATAACGTATTTGGAAAAAAGAAATGGGCCAGCTGTGAAAACCCTAAAAATGAAAGGATTACATATGAAAAAAAGCAAAGATATGGACCAATTATGTCAAAATCTTAGGAGCTTTACTGTTCCTAAGGATGGTCCGTTTTTAATATATATATATATATATATATATATATATATATATATATTAATTCTATTTTGGACCAAACTTTTGGACAAAAAATTATAAATTTCAAACAAATAATAGAAAATCATTTTTGCAGTTTTGACCTTAGTATATTACAATTAATAATGGGTGCTCCTATTAGCACGAATAAATTCGTGTATAAACAATGATCAGATTAATTTGAATAGTGAACAATTAATCCGATCATATTTGTCGATTTCTTAATTTCAATTGTTTTTATATTTTTTCATTTTAATCCTTTAAATTAGATGTAAGTTACAAAACAAACCCTTCTACTTTTTATTCTTTTTAAATTCAACAACTTTATATGTAATACACATATAAAAATAAATACTAAAAATCTTAAAAAATATATGTTGATAATTTTTTATTTTTGTTGTCATTATAAATACAAATTCATTTTCAATAAAGTTCATCTTTCACTAAACGTTAAAGAGATATTTTATTATTTTAATTTACATTTTTAATGACAAGCCAATTTGTAATTTTTCCAACTCACCTAGACTATACATTTGTTATTTCGAACTAAAAATTAACACAAAAATAGTTCGAACTATAAACTATCACATGGATAATGTGAATAAAAAAATAATAACACCAGATAGTTCGAACTAAAAATTAACACAATTATCACATGTATATTTGTATGCGTATGTATGTATTTATGTATGTATGTATGTGTATGTATGTGTATGTACGTATTTTTCTTATTTTCGATTTTTCGGGCACCAAACGTCATTTTTTCCGCTTCGTTTTTTTCACACCTCTATTATACATGATTATCTGTATTTTCACCAACTTATAGCTATTAATATCGTTCATAAAGTCTTGTGCACCTTCGGGATCAAGTACTCGTTTAACGGTTTAACATTGTAATGCATATACTTTTCACCAACTTATGATGAGTTTATGTTTGTATATGTATATTTATATACATGAATGAGTTGTGGTATATGTGTATGTATACGTGTTTGTAAGTATTTGTATGTGAATGTATTAATAAACATTATAGTGTTAAACCATTAAATGAGTAATGGATCCCGAAGGTGCACACGACTTTATGAATGATACTAACAGCTATAAGTTGGTTAAAATATAGATAATCATGTATAATAGAGATGTGAAAAAAAACAAAGCTGAAAAAATGACGTTTGGTGCCCGAAAAATCGAAAATAAAAAAATTATGTAGCTAATCTGTAACTAATTAGCTACGGAGTTCTAACGGAATGCATAATAATAAAGGAATGGAATTCGTAATTGTATAAGAAGACTTAAGGAGCCCTTGTAGTTGGATGTGACATGCCCTACCTATTGGTAAATCCTTTGACATTGAAACGTACATGATGCAAGTTTGAAATTGATTGAATAGCTACGGATTTTCGTCGCTAAATAGAACTGTAGGTATTACGTAGCTATTTAGTTCCGTAGTTATTCCGTAGCTATTTAAATCCGTAGCTATTCTGTAGCTATTTAATTCCGTAGCTATTCAATTCCGTAGCTATTCCGTAGAAAATCCGTAGCTATTTATTTCTGTAGCTATTCCGCAGTGATTCCGTAGATAATCCGTAGCTATAATTTAGCCACGGGCCATTATGCTACATGCATTTTTCCGTAGCAATTCCGTAGCTATCCACTTATAGCTACGGATTTTGCTGTAGCTATTGCACCAGTTTTCTAGTAGTGGATCAAACGAAAAAACTAACACATGGATAGTCAGAATAAAAAAAACACAATGAAAATCCAAACAAAAAATAACACATAGATAGTCGAAAAAAACATAAAGATGGTCGGAACGAAAAAATTAACACAAAGATAGTCTGAACGGAAAAAATAACATGAAGATAATCCGACCGAGAAAAACAAGGCAAGAATAGTCAAAACAAAAAAAAAATAACACAATGATGATCATAACGAAAAAATAACAAAAAGATAATCTGAATGATAAAACAACACATCAATAGTTCGAACTGAAAAATAACAACAAGAATAGTCGAAGAAATAACACAAAAATAGTTTGTACGAAAAAAAAATAACACATGGATAGTCCGAACGAAAAAAACTAACACGAGATAATCCAACCAAAAAACAAACAAAGATAATCGTAATGAAAAAAAATAACATGAATATAATTTGAACAAAAGAATAATAAATGAATAGTCCAAATGAAATAATAATATGTATAATGAGAAATCAAATAACATATTATTTTTTCTGTCATTTTCCTATACACTTAAGATTGTGATATTTGTCATATTTAATAAAATTAATAAATTTTTATTACATTTGTCATTATCTAAAGTTGATAGAATCATGGATATGAAAAAAAAAAATATGAGGATCATTAATTTCTCATACATAATAATCCAAACGGAAAAATAGTGATAGTTTCGATGAAAAAAATAATACAAAAATAGTTTGAATGAACAAGAAAATATATTCTTAATGTTAATAATAATAATAATGTTTATTTATTAAAATTATTAAGATTAAGAAAAAAAAAAGCAAAAAAGGGATAAAACATTAATAAGGAAAAATAAATTAGAAAAATCAAAATAAATGATGTATAAGTATAACTTACGTGCATATTTATTAAAGTGATATAAATCCAAATGTGATATGTTAAGAGTAAAACGTTTACACTCCACCATCATTTAAATAATAAAAAACAATAAAAATTTATGTAAAAAATATTAAAAGCTCACAGTAAAAGGTCAAATACATCAATTCAATTGGTTCATTCGTGTAGATAGATATTTGTTCGTGCGCTTAGAATCACCCTTAATTTAATACAATCTTTCTAATTAGTATAACAAAGTCATGTCGATGTCGAATGATGGTCAAAAATCCAAAATCACACATTCCACGTGATAATTATTCCATAACTCGTAATATTCTCATGTAAGATACATAGATCACTAAACATAAATTCACTGTCTAGTTTACATAAAAACAATCTCATTCAAATGTTACACGAAACTTCAAACTCAATAGGTACAAAAAAAAGGTGCATTTGTCAATCAATTATAGTGGTATAGCGGTTGGTGAAGGAGACATGTATTTGACCAACTTTAGTGACAAAACGCAATTTTCAAATTATATTTAATAGACTTAAAAGCACATAATTATTATTTATTGTTAAAAGACAAAAGTTTGGATTAAATTTATTAACCTAAATTATTACGCAAGGTTTTGGGTAACTTTGTATTCACATTGTTACAAGTAAAATAATGAACCACAAATTTGAAGGTCGTATTTATGAAATAAATATCAAAACCCTGAAAATCACAAAAACAGAAAAATATACATAATGACGTCATAAATCCACTTAGTCTTCCCTAGAAGGAGACCATGGGGTCATGTCCATGGGGTAACTACCCAACACCCTCAAGAAAGATGTGAATTCCTGAACCTCAGCAAGCGCGTTTTGAGCTCTTACGTCTGCCATTGAAGCTTCGAAATCAACATAAAACATGTATTCAAAATGCTTCGCTGTTCCGACGTTTGCATCGTCGACGAGTCTAATCGGCCGGTTCCGGTGAGGTCTGCTTTCGATTTTAGTCAAGCTAATGTTTCTGAAAGCGAAGGCTGATAAGACTTTGAAAAGGACTGATGTTCCTTTGTCGTGAGCGAAAACGATGCTTGTTTTGAATGGCCGATCGTTGCGGGGGATGATGGGTTCACGTGCAAGCATCACGAATCGTGTGATGTTGCTTGAATCGTCCTGGATTCCGTCGGCGAGGATGTTGAGATTGTAGAGGTCGGCGGCGCGTGCTGATGCGATTGCTGCTGTGTCACGGAGGTTGTTTGCAGCGACGAATTCGGCGGCTCCGGCGGTGTCGTCAACGGCTTCGCGAGTTACGTTTAAGCCGAGTTTGGTGAGAGTTAACTCGCACTGAGCTAAAGCTTGTGGATGGCTGATAACACGGTTGATGTATTCTTTCCGGACGCCAGGTAACGCTAGGAGACAGTGGTGGACCGGGAGTTGGACTTCACCGACTATGTGAAGACGGTGGCGGAGGAGGAGATCGTAATTCCGATGTATGCTACCACCGAGAGAGTTTTCAACAGGTAAAACAGCACGATCTGCAATCCAAAGCTCTACCGCTTGAAATGCGACCTCGAATTGGTCACAAGGAATAGCCTCACACTGTGGATAAGCTTTTCCGGCCGCCGCCTCACTATACGCGCCAGGGACACCTTGATAAGCAACGCGAATCTGCGCACCGTGCATCGGCGCCGGAGAAAGGTCGGTGATAGTTAACGGTTTAGGTAGATTATCAATAGGTACCAGATCTAGAGTCTTATGTCCGTTCACGACGGTGATGTTATCAGCACCGCCTGTCTTCTCGGTGTTCTGCTGCTGCGACACAACCTTACTCGCAAGGATAGCACACGAGCTCTGCCAATCGGCGCGGCTCTTACCAACTCCACCGGACGTAAAGTTGTTGGTAGACGGCGCCGGCACCGGCACTGGAACCGCCGCGGATACTGCTGGATTAGTCGTATTTGAAGCGGAATCAAAGCGGCTAGCGGCTGATTGGACGGTGAAAGCGAGCCGGTGGGGGTTAGGTAGCGGCGACGGCGTCCGCATTATCGACTTGATACTAATTGTTGAAGATGGAGCTAACGACTGCATCTTTCTCCGGCGTTGTAGATTTCAGTTTTTTTGATGTTTTTGATCGGAAGTTTTCACCGGTGGTGAGGGGGTTATGAAGCTTGGTGGAAGATAACTGCCAAGCTGATGAAAGAAAGAGGAGATTGGGGTTTTTATATTGGGGAAAAGGAAACGAGTAGAGAAGACCTGAAAGGGTCAAGCTCATACCTACCCCCTTAATATTTTCCCAAATTTTTTAAAATTATAAGGTCGCCAATAAGCATTTCATTACTTTAAAAATTATTTAAAACTAAATAAATATTCAAAAAAATAATAATAAAATCCGAGGATCAGTGAGTTTAAAATTGGAATACTATAATTATATGAGAAAGTAAGAAATTTACTTACAATGTTTTTTAGAAAAAATATTAATGAAAAATTTCTTTTGTTGATTTAGGCATTAAAAGTTTGGTGGGGATTTGGGTTCATGAATGAATTTTGTTCAAAAAAGGTGGTGAAAGGAAAATTCAACAATAAAAATCATATTAGGTGAGACTTTTGCACAATTTTGTTTCATTTGTTAGAATATTGTTTTATAATGTTTACATGATACAAGCAAGATTCTGTTAGGTGATGCCATTAGGTCTATAATAACTAAAAAAATCCAAATATATGAAATATGACCATGTGAAAGTTCATAAAATCATAATAGTCTTATATATCTATGTCTGTCATGGCTTCTAGTTATTTATGCAGTGAAGTTGCAGATGTAGAAAAGTATATTGGAGGCTGTACAATTTTTTTAGGGATTGCAATATTAAAAAAGAAAAGAGTACATTATACGGATGGTCCTTGTGATTTATGATAATTTGCGCCTTAGGTCTCTAAATTATTTTTTTTACTCGGATAGTTATTGTAATACATTTTTGTTGCAAGTATGGTCCCTGACCTATATTAAATGACCATTTTACCTTTATTATTTATTTAAACTTTTCTTTTGTCATTTATTTTTATTTATATTATTATGATTATTATTATTTAATAAATAAAAATTAATATAACCTAAAAACCCATCACCCCCCCCCCCCCTTTTATCTTGATCCCGTTTCTTTCCTTTCACCTCCGTACCATCTCTCTTGCCGAAAAAGCCCACAACCTTTTCTCCATCCGACACTCAACCTACACAACATAGGTCGACATCCAGGGTTTCCTCACTGGAAAGGTCACCACTTCTCCTCCATCAGTCCATCTCCTTACAAAATTGAATCCTAGCCGAAAGCCATTTCTTGTCGACATGTGACTGTGAAATCGGAGATCGTCAAAGAGAATGTCATTTCTTCTTGCCAAACAACTATTAAACTTGATTTCAGTGGAGGGATTGGTCTTCTCCTTTTCCTTTGTCTTCTTATCTGCCCACAACCACGATGTTGTTACCTCCGACAAGCTCTCTCTCTCTCTCTCTCTCTCTCTCTCTCTCTCTCTCTCTCAAATCAAGGGTAAACCTTTTAGGTTCCCTCACCAAATGCAATGGCTGAGTGGTTGGTGGTATTATTCCTCATATGTGTATTTTGGTGTTTTAGTCATTGGTTCATCCCCATAACATATTGATAATTAAGGTTGTTATTGAGCTTTTTACTCAGTTGTCAATGGGTGTTCCCATGTTCTTTAATTTCTTACCTAAACTCTCGTCCATTCAGCACAGGACAATCGGTTTCAGCACAACACCAAAATACACACATAAATAACAAAAAGAAAAGAACATCAGATCGAGAAGAGATAGAGAGATAGGAAAGAAATCCAAAGTTAGGGTTGTTTACTCATCTTCTGGGTTTGGATGTTTAGAGAAATTTAGATACGTTACTTGATTAATTTTGGATATTTCTATGATTTTGTTATTCATTTTTAGAAGTTAGTTGATTTTACTTTTTATTTTTAGAAATCGACCAATTATTCATTTGTATTCTAATATGTTCTTTTGATTTTGAAGTTTAAGTTTCATATGAGGTTTGTGAAGGTTTCAATTTTGAGTTTTTGTACCGATGTGATTTTGAGGTTTGTACTGTGATGGTTGTCGGATGAAAACTGGTGTCGGTGGTAGTTGTCAAAAGTGAACAAAGTGTCGGTAATTGTTGGATGTTATAAAACTAATATATATATATATATATATATATATATATATATATATATATATATATATATATATATATATTCAATAAGGGTAATGTAGTCTTTTTATTTGACATAGGGACCAAACGCGTAATAAAAATGTACTAAGAGGATCATCCGAGTTAAAAAAAATAAATTAAGGACAAAATGTGTAAATTACCCCAAACAACAGGGACCATCCGTGTAATTTACTCTAAGAAAACTCATTTTAATGACAGTTTCATAAAACCCATTAGGACTTTGTGATTGATTTACACAGATTCTTGGTGGATTCTGATGGATTTGTAATAGATTCTTAACGGATTTGTGACAAATTTATACTAAATTTTACATTTGACAACAAAATTTTAAGAGTTGTCTGTGACACCAAGTAGGCCCGCCCTGATGTAAAGTTCAATTATATAACAAAAGATTATTATTTGTATTTATTTTCAATATTTGATTTAAAGGAGTTACAATAACAATCTTTCTAAAACTATGTTTAATAGAATAGTTGATAATTGAAAAGCTAGTTGATGTTAAAAATTTAGTTGTTAGCTGATAAAAAAAAAATTTGTAAACTAGCTGATAAAGTTACGAAATATAAATCGAAAAAAACAACATATATAATGAATTATTCACGGGGTGTTTGGGATTGTTCTCAAAGCAATTTATTGATTTATTATTTTTTTTAAATAAAATAATTCATAAAAAAAAAACAACTTTGGAAAATCCGAAAGGACTTTTCAAAACAGCTTTTGTATTACCTTCAAAAAGAAGATTTTAAAAAGCATCTATTTGTAGGTATGTAATAACTTTGTTGTTGAGTATGTTAGAAAATAATATATGCCACATACCGATGTCATATCTTCGTATAATATTATGAAAGGTAAAAATTATCACAATAAAATCTATTTCAGTCTTCTTAGTTTGAAAGGTATGAATGATATCATTAACGTTTGTTTAAAATTAAAGTTTGTATTGTCCATAATTTTTTTTTGAAACAGAAGAATTTTATTAAAAAACTAGCAAAAAATTAGAAAAAGAACATTACAACAAATTAAAAGCTAGAGCATGATTATGAAACCACGATGTCCAACATATTTTATCTTTGCTATACCTATTGGAAACTAAAAAAAAAAAGAGTTTTTTACCACATCATCAAAAATGACTGATTTCCTAGGCAACACATTTCCAAAGATAATGGAATTTCGGAAATTCCACATACACCATAAAGCAGTCATAATCACCGCATTAAAAGCTTTTCGTTGACCACTTCTCCAAGCAAAAGAATTCGACCAAAACAAGATAGAATCTATGGAAAGGTGTTGAGGAAGCTGACCACCCAACCAAATGGCAACTCGAGTCCAAAGCTCAACCAAATTACTACAACCTGCAAACAGATGGTCAATTTTAACTGTAGTGGAACAGACCGAACACAAGATCGAATCCATCAAAATACCCCGATGGGAAAGATTAGCTCGAGTAGTTAAACCATTTAATCTTAATCTCCAACTAAAAATATTCAACTTAATTGAAACCCAATTATTCCAATAAGTATCGACACCACCTATAGGCAACATTCCATTATCAATAAAAAAACCGAGTTGTGGAGACAGTAAAATGATCAGACGTGTCTAATAGCCACCCCAAATGATCCGGTCTGGAATCAAGTTGTAAATCCTGCATCAGAGCCAAAAAAAGCCTCCCACTGCGACCACTCAATGCCACCCCGAGGCACTCTCCTAAGAGAACTAGTATCCCAACCCAACAACACCCTGTCACGAACCAAGGCGGATTTATGAGTATCCAAAGCAAAAATCCTATGAAAAGAGTCTGCAAGAGAGCGATCCCCTTTCCTAATATCCTGCCAAAAATAAGTTATACTCCCATCTCCAATCCGGATCGGACATAAAGAAAGCAAATCTAAACCACAATTTTTGAGGTGAGACATCATACAAATAACTCCATTCCAAGGACCCATCCAACCTTTTTTAGGGACTAACGAACCACAACCTCCATCGGAACCATAAATAACTCTAACAAGACGAACCCATATTAGATATGGGTTATGAAAAAAATGCCACCACCACCGGAAGAGCATAACCCTATTGAAAGAGAAAAGACTACCAACTCCAAGACCCCCTTCTTTCCTACAACCAGAACTCTATCCCACTGGACCCAATGCATACACTTGTCATCCAACTCCGCCCCCCCAAAAGAATCTCTCACGAAAAGCTCCAATGACTTAAGAACCGAGATCGGAACCATAAAGATGGACATCAAGTAACTTCCCAAGCTCCCAAGAACAGACTTAATCAAATTCAAACGACCACCAAATGAAAGAAATTTCGCCTTCCAACCCAATAACTTGGAACGAAAACGGTCAACAATAGAGGACCAAGTCGAGACCCTGGACATACATTGACTTACTGGCACACCCAAGTGAACAAAAGGAAGACAATCCATGGCACAACCCAATCTACGAGCCACCAACTCCACCTGATGAGGAGAGACGCAACCCCAATTAACTTGCTTTTTTTGCAAATTAATTTTAAGGCCAGAAGCTAGGTAAAAACAACGCAAAATTCGAAGAACTGATTTTGCATTCTTGGTATCCCAAGGAGAAACCACAACGACATCATTTGCATAAAAACCATTTTCTGTCTTCGGAAACTTGGGGATAAAATCCATCGAAACCTGCTCCCATTTCCATATGGTAATCTCCAGAGGCTGAAGCTTGCCATACGGAACCTTGACCATCATGCAGGTCAAGCATCTCTCAACATACCAGGCTATCTCCTTCTTCATACACGTCCACCAGTAGCTCAAAATCAAATCCCGATACATCTTGGTGGCCCCCGGATAAATAGAAAAACGAGACTTATGAGCCTCCT